GAGACGAGCGAGGCCAGCGCCGCCAATTCTCCAGACATCGTCAACAAGACACTAGACGCGACTGCATCTGGCTGCATGCACCGGCGAGCATATCTACCCCTCATACCTCCACGCGGCATTCTAGATACCAACCGCCCTCCCGTTTGACGCGCCACCTGCCCAGCCATCTCCTGTAAATGGATGGAGCCGGCGAGCTTTGAAACTGGAGACCCGTCTTCGTCGCCAGCCCGAGATGGGCCAACCCCCGCCACCGTCACTGTGGTCCCACCCTACTGGCAATCCCACCAGCGCAATGCCTCGTATCTGAGCAACTACTCTGCTGACAACGGCCGCCCCACCCCCATCGGCCTCGAGGACCATACGGATGAGGACTCGGACCACTGCAAAGTCCTCTGGGCCAAGGGTGTCACGATAGATGATTACGTTGTCATCAGCGGGCCGTCACCGGGCTTTGGAGCTTACGTCGTCTTTAATTGTACGGTCGAGACACTGGATGTAAGTTCCCAGCCGCATGGAGATGCGCTAGTCTGCCCGGCGATGTCCTCGCAGCCAATCATCCGCGCGAGATTGTTTTTCAAAAAAATGGTTTCATGCAGAGGGCCCGTGGTGGACTGCCATCTCCAGGTGATGAACCATCATGCATATGCTAATTGTGACAGGGTGGTCCCATGAAGATACGCAAGAGGTTGGCCATCGTCTGTCACTTTCGATTCCCTCTGCTGATCGTACCAGATACTCCGAGTTTGAAGATCTGCACACCAAGCTGCTCCAGACGTTTCCTCATGCCGCGGGTTCCATGCCGCACTTCCCACCCAAATCCGTAATATGTAAGTCACATGGCCGCCTGCAGCATCACTCCACCAAACAATATAGTGCTAACGCGTCGGGCATAGCTCGCTTTAGGCCCCGTTTTCTGGAAAAGCGGAAACAAGGACTTTCGTACTTTCTCAAGTGTGTTTATCGATAACAAAGCTAGCGCATATCGGCTGACTATTAATAGTTGCGTTTTGCTGAACCCGGAGTTTGCTGGGTCGCCCGTCTTGAAGGACTTTCTCTTCTCGTGATCGCGTGGCTTTGAGGTTGTATTGACACTGACGTTGATGTTTGAGTGGCATAAGAGTTGGATACGCTGTTGTTGTTGATTGTGTGGTGCCAGGGTGTGCCCAGCTGCCATGCAAGTGAATCGTCCTTGACATTTTCCAATTGCTTGATCTCTCAATCTTTCAGTTGACATGCAAGGAAAGGACCTCATATAGTCAGTTCTAGTGTCATGATGTTCAAATTGATGTGATGTCGCCCACTCGTACTGATTGGCTACCAACGTCAGTGGCGCTACGCTTCCAAGTATCTCACATGCGCTGTACTGCAATTCGTTGAATAATCTTCTGATGTACATGGCGATATCGAGATGGGAAGGTCTGCTATAGGGCTTAATCCAACCTCATCCATATTTGCAGTGTCTGGGTGAGGCGTACGGGAGCGCCGTGGGTGCAGCAGCTCGTTTGGCAAACTGCGCGGGCTCTGCCACTCGACGACCCCCTAACGGCTCGCGTTTTGGCACATCTCAGCGCGACATCAATGGCAGCTCCACAATGAATAGCTGAAAGATGACCCAGCGAATCGCGAATGATCTCAAGTCTGATCACTACCATGGCCAACGCCGTTCGGCCTTCGCTGCTGCGGAGCTCGAATGAACGGCAGACCAGGCTCAACTTCCTGCCCGTGTCGCGCGATGACGCCCACCCACAAGCCCAGCGCAACCACAACCACGCGCCCGTCGCGACAAGACGGGCCTCGAAAAGCGGCCCTCTGCTTGCGCGCGCCGACGACGACGGCGCCGTCAAGCCCGTCGCCCACACGCCTGCAAAACCTCCGCCGCCTGCGCGCACCAGCAGCAGGAAGCGGCCAGCCACTGCCCTCGAGCCCGACGCGACCGACACGAGACCGCCGACCAAGATTACCGTTACACAACCACATGGCGAGCTGCTGCGCATCACCAATGGCGTCGCCGCGCCCCTGGGCATCGACGCCGACGACGTGCCCTCCGCGAGGTCCACGCCCCGGCCTGGCAGCTCCGGCAAGCTTGCTGCGCCCCCAGCTGTCCCCGCCCCGGCGTCCACAGCGTCCTCCACAACCACAGACAAGAGGAGCCTGCGGAGCCACGATGGAGGGTCGCGGCTGAAGAGCGACCTCGCCGTCTACTTTGCCAACTACGACGACATCATTGCCGGCGTGCCCAAAGAGGATGGTAGGTCACGGTCCCTGTCACATGTCACGATATAGCTCTGATCGCGTGCAGAATTTCTCGATGTCGACACGCCCATATACATCGTCGACGAGCCCATCAAGGCCAAGACACCAGAGCCCCCGCGAAGCTCAGTAAGCCCGACGCGGTCACGGAAAGCACGGCACTCGTCTCCTCCGCGCCATGCCTCAGATCCGTCAATACCGCCGGCCCAGTCGTCGACTACATTCACAGTCCTCAACTATGCCTCCATAGCCAATGCCATCTCCCACAATGACGGCGAAGACCCGCTCGCCGACTCCGTCTTCTTCACACAACACCGGCGTGCCGAGCGCAAGGAGAAGCAGCTGCGGAATATCGAAAAGGAGCGCGCCATGCACGAGAAGGTGCAATTGGAGAGACTCCTCGACGGACTGCAGGGCCCCGACTGGCTCAAGGTCATGGGCATAACAGGCGTGACAGACGGCGAGAGAAAGGACTGGGAGGCGAAGCGTGACTACTTTGTCCGGGAGGTAGAAGCCCTCGTCGACAAGTTCCGCGTCTGGAAAGAAGAGGAGAAGCGTTTGCGTGCTGAGAAGGAAGCAGCGCTCGCCGCGAGAGAAGAAGACGAAGAAGAGGATGGCGAGGAAACAGAAGACTCAGATAACATTGTAGTCCGCAGCCGCGATCCTCCACCACCGCGACAGCAGCCCAAAGAGCCCGAACCACCGAAACCACGGCGGCCACCGCGTCCCCATGGTTTCCTCCTTCCTTTCGTACCGCCCGAACCCGCAGCGCCATTCAGTTCCTTCTACGCAAAACCACACCTCCGCGCCGCAGCACTCGGCAAACATAGACATGGGCGCAACGCATCTGCATTCGGCCAGCCCATACCCGAGTTCGCAGAGAAAGAATTTGAACTCCCAGAAGGTTTCATGGATCCGCAATTCCTAAAAGACAACGCGCGGCAGAGAAGGAGACGGAAGAGGGAGAGTGGTGTGAATACAGGGGCGGGCGCGAGTGCAAATTAGTGCTTTTCTTTCTTACTTACAACATGGGCCGGGGTTTCCAGATTCTATACCCCTTATAAATACTGTCGAGCAAGTCGAAAACTGGGATTTCTTGTGGCGTTTTTTTGATAAGGCATGGGGTTGGAGGTGTGGGACTGGATGAGGGCCTCGTGCCTAGTGTATATTATCAGTGGAAATGGAATGCAAAATCGTTCCGCTTTGAGATCGGGTGTTCTGGTGCTGGTGCGTGTGGATTGTGAAGGCGGCAGTGAAGAGATTGGTCTGATTGAGGTAAGCACTCCTCTCGTTTGGTGTATTGCTGGTACTGATCAAGTTCGTTCGGTCTTCCAACCTTCAGCCAAGGGTCTCACGTGCTCGGGTTCCATTCCTCGCGTATATAAACCCGTCTTTTCTACTGTCTCCTTCCTTCTCTCTTCATTACAAAGTCTGCGGGCTTTTCTCCAAAAACGTGTCTAAAATCCTTCCATGACTGGCTGCTTCGTCTGCCTGTCTCAACAAAAAATAGTTCAACGAAAAATCATGTCTTCTGGCCTGGTTCTTCTTCCTTCAAATCGACCTTCTTTCAAAACAATCACTCTTCAGTACGTATGAGATTGTGTGGAAGCCCTTACTCTGTTATTTGGATATGAACAAACAGAAAACGAGCCATCTTTTTCATGTGGTGCTTCTCGAATCCGCTCCCTCTAGTGGTATGACAAAACGACATCACTAAAATCTTACAAAACCAGCGCGATGTCTCGTTCCTGGTCTGCGGGTTCAAAAACTCCGACATCCATGCCATGTCTCAATTCATCTTCCAGCGTTGCCGAATACACATGGTTTATGCATTCGCATGGCTATGAGCAACTCATGGTTTGCCGCCTACCGAAAAGACATCAGAAGCAAGCCATGTGCTCTCGTCGCGTTTGAAGTCTGCAACCCCCGGGAAGAAGTGAAGGCTGAATGATGGAGTACTCGTGTCGCCGCCAGCTAGCTCGTAGGAGAGAAGTGGTGGGAATAGCGAATGACTGGCTTAGCAGGGTTCACGGGTATATAAACCCACCGTGTGCCTCCAGGTCTCTCTTCTTCATACCACATTATCTTCCTTGTTTCCAAAATGGTAGCAGATCATTTGCATGTCTGTGTGTGTTCCTCCTGCTCTCTACAAAAGATGAGCAGACCAACGTCATGGCTTCCGCTGTTCCGCCCTGTTTTGCAAGATCAAAAGATATGTTACAAGAGTTCATGTTTCGATTTGCCTTGCACTTTGAGCTTAAACAAAAGAACGCGAGATGGCAGGCATGTTGTGCGCTGGTACCAGCCGCCTGTCATTCAAAATCCTCCACGAGATCAGTTATGTGTTGAGTCGACCGTGTTGCCTTTTCCTCCATCAAAATGGCGGAAGTAGTTCTCATGAAGATTGCTTGTACAGTTCCCGCTGCATATACTGTGTCGAAAAGTAGACATGAGATGCTTGTTGCGTACAGCATCATCCGCTGTGGCGTTGACGGTGAACGGTGATCAGTGAAGCATGTCTGAGTGATGCATCCGGTTGATCGCTTCATTCGGAAAGAATCAGGTCATCTCACACTCATCGATCTTAGCGCCTGAAGTATCAGATTTCGGTGCTGTTCACCGTTAGAGGTGCGCCTGCCCATTGCGGAAGGGGCAAAGGCGGTCGAATCCCAATCTTAAAGCACTCACCTCCCGCCACCACCACACCCACTCACACCCACCCTCACATCCACCCGCACACCCACACAACGATGGGTGAATTCTTTCGATTAATGTTCGAGAGCTTGCGACGACAACGACAACGAGAGCTTGCTAACGATGCGGCAAGTCTTGCCGCCGTTTCTCACACATGGGCTTCACTCGCGGCAAGCTTTCGAAGATCAATCGAAGACGCTAGCGAAAGTGGAGCGAAGATCACAGAGACAGTTGATCTAGATACGCAACACGGCCCATCACTCAGCGAACAGAGACGTACGCTAGAGAGTAGACATGCAATCGCTCTCGGAGAGCAGGAGCGTCAGCACCGACGCGAATTCGATAGCGCTCTTCAGAAACAGAAGCAGCAATCCGACGAAGAACGATACAACGCTCTTCAGGAGCAGAAGCAGCAGCTTGAGAGCGAAAGAGACATCGCCCTTCAGGAGCAGAAAGCTCAGCTTGAGCAGAAGCTGGAAGAGGAACTAGACTTTGCCGGAGAACTCCTCATGCGAGAGACAGAAGGTAACGACTTCACCCTGCAGCAGTTGCTGAATTGGATCACGAAGGCTAGCCAGTACTTTGGCTTCGAGCTGTCAGAAGACATCGATCCCATCTGCAAGATAGAGCAGTTCGCTCTCCTAGCAAGGCTCAACACCTCCAGGATGTGTCAAGCCGCGTTTAATGAGTTGTCGCATCGTCTCAACGTTCCCCTAGAAAGGTGGCCTTCAGTTTCGGAGCTCCTTGACCAAGAGCATACCGATGAATATATGGCAGTCCTCACTAGCCAGGTGGACATAATAGTCCAAGCCTGCGAGGATAGAGTCGACACAGAACAGTGCTGCACTACCGATGCACAACGCGCTTCACTCATCTCAAAGTTAAAGGTCACAGAGCAGGTCAGTAGGACCATCGGAGTCCTGAGAGGGCAGATAGCAGCGAACGACAAGTTATGGGCCGAGGTGGTCTCAAGATCAGAGGCGTGCTTGGCCGCGAAAGATCAACACATCGATGCCCTAACAGAGCGTCTCAGATTGCAGACGCAGATGCTAGATGAGAGACACGTCCTACTATTGCAGATGGCAGATACAGCTGCAGCATCAGTAGGGTAGAGTCAAGATGTCTTGCTGATATATTTGTGTGCGAAGACCCGATATGTAGCTGAATTTGATCAACATCAATGTCATAGCATCCTCGCCCTTATCCTTCACGTCTTGATGCATACGTCTCTTGATACTCAAACTGACGTAGTTGCATTTCAAATCCTACTCCAACCAACTCAAACACTCTTCTCGATTAAACTGGGGCTTTACAGTCCGTCAGCTCGTACAATCTACCCCTTAACCCGACAGCCTTCGCCATCTCCAGTCCTTCTTCTCCAGGCGCTGGATATAGCCTTTGCCCAAAGCTAAGATGGTACCATCGTGTGCTGGGAAGTCCACGCGGAGCGTCTGCAGAGATGTTGGAACTAGACCGAGAATAGAACGCCTGTGTTCATTGCCCTTCAGCCAGATGAAACCCTGCCAGCTTAGATCCTGTCCCGGGGGCACGCTCACATCCAGTGCAGCATGATCGAACCACATAGCTGCTGGCACGCGAATATATGCGAGGCTGCTGAGGTTAGAGAAGTCAGCTCTTGAGCGCTGTTCTCGTCTCAACCCCGGCCATGTCTCTCTGATGTGAAGATGCGTCAACTTTGCGCAACGGTAGTAGTGCGCGGAGCGATATATTCTGTACATGGAAACTTGTAGTCATTCAATGAACTTGATGTTTTATAGAAAATCTCTCGAGCGCGCATAGTTCCGATGAGTCCTACTACGGCTCTTTGGTATGACATATCCATGACAGATGATCTCCAGTTTGCACAGAGTCTTTAGGCGATTGCTTCGTTTTCGTCCTTCGGTGGGTTCTTGTGAACGTGAACTTTGCGCACAACCGAGTTTGTGATCTATCAAGCTGTTAGCACGAATAATAAGATGTCTTAGAAATGCGTTAAAAGTATAGCAAGGGGGCTACATACTAGTAATAAGTTAGCGAGATATCTTGACAGCTATTCGTGGCGGCTACTTTACCCTTGCGACCATCCTTCTCCGTAACCTGTTTATCCTCGTACACCAGCACAAAGTCGGTACACCTCTTCACCGGAAGATCGAAGATTCCCCATTGCTCCAGTAAGTCCAGGGCCGGCTGGGAGTCGGTGGTAGTCTGGCAGATTGGTTCCTTGTAGAGTATCTTGAACGTGACATGGCAGCCCGTCTTATTGACTGTGCATGTGACCGTCAGTTTATCCTCTCGTACAGCCTGGGCCCAGCTTTCGTTCGAGTTATGAATGAACTTTTGCATGGTGCGGGTATATCTCATCTGCTTATTCTTGAAAGTCTTCCACTCGCTGCGGCACAAGTAGTAATCTGGACATTCGCAATCATCATCGCCGTAACTTGAATACCCAAGCTCTTCCATCTCCATATTCTTGGAACAGTTATGGCACACATCATCTTCCACGGTGTATCCACTTGTGGCAAGCATGTGCGGAACGAATGCTACCTTTGATGAGGTAGATTGCACATACAAATGTAGCAGAGGCATCATGTCGAAGGTTGATCTGCCGTCGTTGCGGTGGTCCCACGAGAACTGCACCAAACCCGGCATCAGCTTGTGCACACCTTCATTATGCAGAAACGCGTTGCCGAAATGGGTCCATTCGGATGTTGTCACGAATCTAACACGGAGATGTTGGATCCAAAGAGGACGATACTCTGCGCGAATTTGTGTGCAGACCTGGGTCAAGGCCAAGAACTTCCAGGCACGCTCCGAGTGAGACTTGCGAGGCGAGTTTGAGAGGATAGGCCTGGGCCGTAAAGCATAATTCCTTGAGTCGTCTTCGTTCGCGTAATCGTATACCCTGTTTCGTAACTCTTTGCGGCATTAGCGCCTAGCAATGTCAGAGGCAAGGAAGACATACCAGGAGAAAGATCGAGGAAGCGAAAATATTCCGGAGCTTTCCTTATGGATCCCTCGCTCTTTTTCCCAACAGACCCTCTTGCTTTCTTGATGGGCTTAGCGGCTTCTGTGGTCTCCTCGCTCTTGCGCTTGCTCGCAGCTTGTCTGATTCTAGATTAGCACATGATCGCCAGAGTAGAAGAGAAGACTTACGTAGTGGGCGCCATCAGTCGTCTTGCAGCCAGTGGCGATGCTTGTGACGCGGTGGATTTGTTGCCAGAGCAAGCTGAGCGGTAGAAGGAGGGAGTAAACAAGTAGAGAAGGCAAGAGCACCCGCCAAGAGCCGCTAGTGGAATGACGCAGGCATGCAGTGACATGTTCCACAACAGTCCGCCTAGGTAAGACATAGGCAAGGGCACATGAACCTTTCATCTTGGTTCTCCCAGAACGTCGCATGAGACAGAAGTGAATCGCGCTCTGCTTGCTCAATATGCGCTTGCAACAGCTCGCTCTCGTCCGCTCGACAAGCATGCCTGCGAAGGCCAGCTACTCAACACCCTTGCATAATATCTCTTCATAGAAGGGACAGATCACGACTTGAGAGGCTGTGTTCAATGCAATCCCAAGAGTGTAGACCTTACCCTCGAAAAGGTGATAGACTGCCTGTCCACACGTTGATGGACACATCGCGAAGACCAGATGAACTCACCTTCCCTACGCCAAGCTATCAGCTATTTAGAAGTTGAAGGTTCTTGCGCTGAAAGACTTGGACGGTCTTTCTCCATAGTGTGGGTCATCTCAAGTTCCTTCCCTCCAATAAGAGTGGAGTCATCATATTCGCAGCGCGCACGCAAGCGCGCTTCTATACCTCTACTCTTGGGCACATCTTTGCGTAGATCTATCGCAACCACAAACATCAATTGCATTTTTGTCATAGCAATCCAAGACCACTATACAAGCATCCATTATCCGGCGGATGTCCTCTCGGTAACACGAGCTGCTTCCGCCGCATGGACTATTACCAATGCCCAACAGAAGACCTTCTCATAGAAGCACAGCGCCGCGGTTTCCCAAGACTTTGGAGCTCTCGGGACCAGCTCATCGAGGTCTTCATACAAGATGACGAGGCAAAAGGATCGGATGCGACGACCATTTCTACCACGGACTACGGCGCTTTCATACCGCGGACTGTCAGTCTGGAACACACAGCGGCATTGGACAAACCCGATTTAGCTAGTCAATTGATCAGCGAGAGCGCGTCTACCAAATGTGTAGTGCAAGAGGATGGCAGAGCTGACTATTCTCAGAGATTATTTACTGGACGTTGAACACTTTCTTTCCCGCAATACAGCTCTTCTTCGAGTCGGGTTCGTCGTGTACTATCGACTGCGGGAGGTTCCCGGATGCAGTCGTTGGGCTGGATCCTGCGCTCCGGTTCAGACTGACGGATTGTGCACACGAAGAAGAAGGTCGCGTGGTTAACAGCATACTGCCTCGACGTTTTGTACATTCTGGTACCGGTCTCGTCATACAAGAAGCAATAATCGCCCATCGCACGAGTATTGCAGTCAGGAATTTTTCGGATCCACAGAGAACCCAGCTATGGCGACCAGGCATTGTCGTCCAGCCCAAGATTACAAAAGAGCTACACACAGTCGTTGGGCTCAGGCTGAGGGGAATGGACAAAACAGCGTACATATGGGCGAAGACTGCGGTGCCTACCGGAGGAAGGGTGTGGGGAAACGTGAGGTCATCTGGCCTGCGAGACGATGTGCCTGTCCCCATACTTCCTTCTGTAGAGGAGGAGCCCGGCGCTCAAACAGTCGTGGTTATTAAGGACAGCCTGATCGAGCGCAATCGCATGGGCAATAGGGAGATGGGGACCTTCGAGGCCATTACACCAGAAGATTCTTCGTAATTGTACCGGAGTTATACGTTACGACACAGCTGGCGGTGGACGCGACGATGTCGAATTAAGTGTCTGGTAGTAGATTAGCTTGGCAAGTAGCCATCTATCTTCAAGGTCCCTTCCAACGCATGTGAGGATACCCACTCGGGAAGATCCGGCCAAACTCCAGTAATGTGTGTCTGGAGCTGGCTCGTGGTCGAAAGATAGCAGCATGCTGACAAAAGTCGACATTATATATCCTAAGCCCGATCGGACTGGGATTGCGAGTAATCTCGGGCGAGTGTGCAAAACAGCAGGACCGAAGCGGATGTAAGGATCTTGAAGTGGGGTACTGAGTCGATCCCAGGCGCGGGCGCAGCTATAAAGACACTAATTCCCACGTCAGTGCTGTTCAGCACCGCGCATCGCATCTACAACAGTCAGTACATCTTGCAAATTCCTGTTGGTTTTTACTCACAGCGTACAGAACTCTCCGATACCATCCACCTATACATCATCATGTCTGGCGCCACCGCTATCGTCCTCTACCCTCGCAAGGAGGGCTCCACCTTTGACAAGGAGTACTACCTCAAGACACACATGCCGCTCGCCATGAAGAATTGGAAAGACCACGGTCTCAAGTCCTACGCCGTCAGTGAGCTCAACGCCGATGGTCCATACGCCATCAGCACCGTCATGGAGTTTGACAGCCTTGAGAGTGTCGGAAAGGCCTTGCAGAGTGAGGGCACCAAGGAGGTCATGGAGGACGTAAAGAACTTCAGCAGCGAGACACCGATCCTCGTTCACGGCAATGTCGTCGGACGGAGTTAGGCTTGGAACCAAATAGAAACAAGGTTGGCCGAGGATCGTGAGCGATGGATACTATGACGAGGCTCATGCAGGGTGTGGTATGGAGACGGAGGTAGGATGGGGTTAGCGGCGTGAAAGCTGCATGGAGGGGTAGCTGTCTCGCTTGGGATGCCCCGCACTTTGTCCTTCCGAGGTATCCTGCATCAATCCAAGGTGACATACTCCATTTTGCAAACATCATCACGCATTCCAATCAATCGGACAATTAAAACATTAGACTCGTAGTGTAAACTCTAGTGAACGTTTACCTGTGTTTAAGAATAACTGTCGTCATGGTATAGTCTTGGATGCGCAGACCTGTACATCCAAACAGCCTCTGACCTCGTGTTATTGGCTGTGATAGCACGGCCAGAGTGTGCAGAGCTGAGCGCTTCAGCTTCGACGTCATGGGCTCAGCGACACAGCCTCTATCGCTCTACCAGGTATTACGAAACTTCAGACAGCCATTTATGTAACATGTCTGCAGCTGCCTCGTCGTCTCTTTCGTATACGAGAGCACGCTCACATCACAGATGCACGTCGTGTACCACGAAACGCTCATCGGCTTTACCCAGCGCATGCGAACCACGGACGATGGGCGACCTCTATGCGTCATGCCCCCTCGATCGGACGCGCAGAGAGATCAGACTGCTCACCCTCGAGCCCAACAATGACGAAGACATCACGAGATGCAGCCTCCAGACCTACAGCCCAGAAAACTGTCCATCGTATACTGCTCTGTCTTACACCTGGGGTGCCGATGTAATGCACACCAATATCGAGATCAATGGCGTCAGTGTCCCGATTCGCGAGAATCTATGGGACTTCGTACATCAGCAACTACTCCATGGAAATTACGGACCCTTCTGGATTGACGCAATCTGTATACAGCAGTCGGAGGTCGACGAGCGTAATCACCAAGTTCGATTGATGAGTTCCATATATTCAGAAGCTGGCAGAGTTTTGATCTGGCTCGGTAAAGAGGGCGATGATAGCGACATTGCCATGCAGATTTTGGAGGACGGAGACCTGATCGACTGGACTAAACAGCTGAATTTGGATACCGACGAGAGTGACGAGATTGACGAGAGTGACGAGAGTGACGAGATTGACGACAGTGACGAGGACCGTAACTGGCCTCGTCCAACCCGGAGTGTATCTAGGTTCAAGAGGTTCTTAACCTCAACAGAGGATCGCAGCATCACAGCACTATGTAACAGAAGATATTGGTCCCGAATGTGGATCATACAGGAAGTCATGCTTGCGGACTACCTGGAGATACATTGTGGCTCAAAGATTGTCTCGTTATCTAGTCTTGTGCTATCGCTCGAGGACCTCGCAAGTGCGGTCAGACATTTGGAACTTGTGGACCCTTCTTTTTCTCACGATAAGACTTACATGTCTCACCTTGACGAAATCCTCGCCAGTCCTGCTATGGACATCGCTATGATACGGGGTCAATCCACACCACGTGTGTCAGTCACTTTCTCGGATTTGTTGGAAGCATATGGCGACCATGAGTGTGGGGACATTCGAGATAAAGTCTACGCTCTTGTAGGGGTCGCAGAATATGGCCAGTCTATCGAAATCGACTATCGCAAGTCAGCAAAAGACGTTCTTATCGACCTCCTGTACCACGAGGGCAATCGGATTAAACACAGAAAAACTATTTTCAAGCATCAAAGATGGAAGGGCGATGAGCTGTTCAAATTTGCGCAGCTATTGAGCAGAGTTTTGGACGTGCCTCTTTCTGAGACCGAGATACAGTTCCACGTTAGCCAGAGCGAGAGCGTAGTGATGTTTCGGGACTGGGAAGAATGTGATTAATAGATGGCGTGTTTTGAGATCTTCAACGCGGAAGGAAAGTCGACATATAGACAACAAGACTACAAGTGATCAAGCGACAGACCACACTTTCAATCATCATAACTCCATTAACATCTCCATGCTATACTGAGCGAGCCTGCAATCCAATCCGAAGCTCCCACTCTCAATGCTTAGTATTATGTACGAGAAGATGCAGACGTGAAATATATACAGTGAACATCGGCATCTCGTCTCATGCTCTTCAATCCAATTGTAATCGATCCCGAATGACCTCAACACTCTCTAAAAGAATAGCCCATCTATCTAACGGCGGTACTGGCCCTGATGCTGCTGCTGCGCGTACTTTGCTGCCTGTTGCGCCTGGTCGAAGCTTGCGCCGTAAGCCTGCGTGGGTGGAGCCTGCTGCTGTTGCTGCGCCATGTTGCCGTAGCCTTGCGGTGACGGCTGTGGGAAATACTGGCTCTGCGGTGTCTGCGCTGGTGAGACCCAACCTCCAGGGACGTTCATTTGTGGGGTTGGCGCCTGCTGGGGGAAGTACTGCTGCTGCTGTTGCTGATACATGGGGTGCATTTGGCTCGGTGTGGAGTACGCCATTCCGACGATGCCTGATGGTGTACCAGGCCCGGTAGGCATGCCCATAACACTCGGAGTACCCATCATGCTTGGCGCTCCCATTACACTCGGAGCACCCATGCCGGTTGGCGTGCCCATACCCATAACACTAGGAGTACCCATCATGCTCGGCGCATAGTTGCTCTGAGCCATCGCATATTGTTGCTGCATCTGCTGTTGCATCATCATCTGCTGGCGTTGCTGGACCTCCATCATTTGGCGCTGTTGGGTCTGCAAGGTGCGTCGGTCGATCTCAGCTTGCATAGTCGGTGTAAAGCTCTGGCGATTGGCCTTGTGAGCCGCCTTCTCCTTCTCGCGATAATCGATATAACCTGTAAGACCTGTCGGAGGCTCCTTTTGCACTTTCTTGGTGTTCTGCGAAAGGTCCAGAAGAGGAGTGTTTGTCATGCGAGCCACCTGTTCCTGCTCGCGTGCAGACAAAGTAGTAGGTTGTTGATTAAGCAGTGTCTCAGCACCGCGGCTTAGAGGGCGGCTGGGTGGACGAGCAGGACCTGGAGAACCCTGAGGCGACCGCTGAATATGACTCCAATCTCCAGAGTGCGTACGAGTCCAATCTCCGGAATGCGTGCGACCGAAAGGAGGTGGGGTGTGTGATTTGCTCCTGCCATGTCCATACATTATAGGCTGCTGCTGATGCGCCGCACGATGCATCACCCAGTCTTCAGGATCCAGCCTTGTCCTGTCCGGCTGCTGTGGTGAGGCTGCAGCCGGTTGCCATGCGACTTGTCGTGAATCCGAGATCTGCGGAGAGTTCGAACCACTGCGCGCATGCATGGGTTGGTTAGGTGACCCTGCACCGGAGATATAAGACAGTCGGTGCTGTTCATTCGGGGTAGTCGCAAGGTTCTCCTTGGACCGCGAGGCGCTGTTATCGTGCAGCATCTGTGTCATGGTTCCACTGGTGCCCGGACGCTTGCCGTCAAAGTCCAGCGCGTACGTCGGGCCGAAGTCAATACTGGGAACAGCTGCAGGCGCCTGTGCTGGGTCCAGAACAGACTTGTAGCCATGTGGATCTTCATCTGAGGGAAGCTTTACGTTTGGATCTCCAATCATGGTCAGAACACCGCTTCTTGGTCGATCGGTGCGTCGTTCAGGCAATCTTCGTGGAAGAGGCGCAGGTTCCTCTTCAGCGATGCTGGCATAGTCTGGCGTAGAAGTCGATATGACATCATCGTCGTAGAAACTACTTGATCCGCTTGGCTGACGATTCAGAGTGGGCTGTGTGATGTTGAAAGCGTCGAGAGCTTCAGGGTCGATTACGTCCTCTCGTAAACTGTCGAGTCTTGAGCTAGTGGTCGAAAGGGTGTCATCCTCTTGCGAGGCTAGGGGAGACCGACCTGGTACTGGTTTACGGGGTATGCCACCGCTTTCGGGGTGCGGACGATAAGGGAGCTCGTGACTGGGGGGCTGTGGCGGCAACTCACTATGTTCTGGGACCGATGGAGCTGTCGGCTGGTAGCCTGTGGGAGAGTCGACGAACTCGGAATGCTCGACGTATGGTGATGCGGGAATGGTAGACAGGCGGTTCCCAGAGTTTTGGTTCGTTGGAGGCGGCCTTGAGTTGACACCAAGATACATCGATTGGCCCTGATCACCGTACGCATTGTAGTCACCACTGCGTCTGCTCTGTATGGTGTCCTGATTTCTCCAAGCCCCGACTGCGCCAGCGGCAGCTACGCCCCCTGGGAAGGACCCATGTGAAGCGTCAGCCATTTGCTGAAGCGTAGCAGAGTCGACTGCAGGGTTTGGCTTAGCCATGGGCATGTTTGGACGAATGGGTGGCTTTTGATTGGCAGCGTGCTCCTGGGTCGGAGGAAGGTCGACATAACCTTGCGGTGGAGCTGACAGATCTGCAGGCGGCGGTGGAAGGTTCTGTGGCTCCTTGATGGGGCTCTCGTCGTAATCTGACGCAGACGAATCATAAGGCTGGACCGCCCCGTTCGACGAACCGTTGAGTATACGATGCTGGGGAGGCGTCGGCGGTCGCTCGTCTTCGTATGGCGTCTCATCTCGCGTGAATCTAGATGGAGTGTTTTCGTTGCGTCCGTTGACTTGCTCTGACACAGATCGCTGATGGCGTGGAGTACCGAATGGGTTTGCAGCGGGAGCTGTTCCAACACGGCGCGGCGCTTGCACTTCGAAGTCTGGGAACTTGCGTGTAGGAGATGACGCGCGTGTGGACGGGCTCGAGCGAATGGAGCCTTGGTCTTCAAATCGCAGGTTACGAGGTGTGAAGCCTGCCCGGCTGACGGTATTCCTACGGCTGGCGCGACTGTAGATGGATTCTGCGTCCTGGTTCGCAGTCACCATCCGTGTGGATGTGAGGTCCTTCAATTGCTTCCTCCAGTGGCGCTCTGACCACTTGTCGCTGCCCTCGGTGTTGATCAAGCCCACCACGTCCCACATCTCCAAGTATCCGTAGCGCCTGTCGGAGGGCATAGCGAACATCAGACCGCGGGTGTCTAGAACGTCTGCAATCAACTTCTTTGGGCGTCCGTATAGTGAGAATGTGTCGAACACGG